GGTGTAAATTTTACACCTGATTTTTGTAATTATACCAAAAATCTTCCACCCCTTCCCTAACCTGTTTACACACTACACCAACCCATCGCCAACACCACCACACTAGAGCCCAAAACCTCCCCCTACCCAAACTCAACACCAAAATCTCATTTGGTGGGAGATGCTCAAATTATTAAAATAATTTTGTCGATAGAAATGTAGATTATGTTATATGAGCCCTATGTTATTTAAGACTCATCCACAATTCAATCGTTAACATTCTTCGTAGAAAACAGAGAAGTGAGTCATGATTAATCAATTAAAATTGTCCAAACATGCTGAAAGGTAGGCTCAACCTCTAAAAAAAGCCCGATCGCATTTTCCCATATTTTTGAAAGCTTAGTTTATAGACTTGGTCATAAAGTATAAACGAACTAAGGAATCTGGAGAAAAAATAAAGAATTTTTTTTGTTGCATAGGTTGGATTCAAGAAGAAAGATGAACAGAAAGAGCCAGCATTAGGCCTAAAGACTTGACCGAATGCGAATGATGATAATCTTGGAGTGTCAATTTCCAGATTGCGAATTGTAGAAGCTAGAGAGAGACGATCGAATGTTAGATATAAGGTTCAAGTTATAACTGTGTGGGTTGAGGCCGACGGTTGTGGCAGCGGTGGGGGAGATGGCGTGGGGTGGGTAAGGAGGAAGAAGATTATTATATACTTTTTTTATTAGTTTTTCTTTTTTTTTATTCATTTGTTTTAAATCAAACGAAGTGTAATTCTATGAACTCAAAATGAGCAAAGTATTGTTTATTCCTTTTGTTTTAGTAACCGATCTTGAAATACAAAATGGGTAATAATAAAGGTTGAATCCCAACTTTGAGGGACTCCCACCACCCCGTTCCTAGAGCATTGTGGATGAGGTAAATCGAGGGATGTGTCTCAACATGTCAGGGTATAAGAGTGTCATACTGGTGCCCATTGTGTAATAATAACTTGAGCAAAAGTTGGACCAACTAGACTAGACTAGACTAGAAGAGAGGAATAACATTTTGTAACTTTCATGAGCAAAATAACCTTTCTTAAAAGTACTGTCAGTGATAATTTTTATCTAACTTGTTAAAAGTATGTGTTCTTGATCTTCAGATGATTACGACTCAAGCTATTTGTTGCTTTGGTTCTGAAAGATATAAAAGTGAAAGGGTTTGCCAATGATGCATTGCCCTGTATGTAATATGTTATATA